ACTGGTCTGTGAGGGGACACAAAAATCACTGGCCCCTTTCGCTCACTCAATTCAGGACGACTGTAAAAGACCATCCACGCCCCAGAGCTACTACTGGGGTTGGCTGAGCCTTCCTTTGCAATTGTGTCAGGGTTCAATTTTCCCTCTGACCTTTCCTGTCTGCTTCCCTCAGTCTTCAAAGTTTTGCTTCTGAGAGAGCATGCTCCAAGATACCACCTGCATGCAAATCTCAAGAGTGTCAGATCTGTTTCTGGGAAACTGAATTTAAAACACATTTAATTCCAAATGCAGATCCTGTTGTCATGCATAGAGATGGTAAATTAGTAGTAATCCCACCTTCCAAAAGCATTTCCTCCACTCTCAGGAACTAGTTCAGGTACTGGAGAAGTCTTCTGTAATGACTGTATTCAATACAAGTTAAACAAGCTTTGTCACATACAGCTATGAAGATTTATTTTCTTCCTCTGAATCACTGTAGATATCATATAATGAATCACTCCACATGTAATGTGAATATGAATCACTTCCAGCATGGCACTTAACTTCCAGGAGAGTCATATTTGTCATTGTGGATGTCATACAAAGATATTTACTGGAAACAATATAGATTTTGTGATTTTTTTAACACATAAAGGATACGTTTATTTTATTTTTCTATGTTTATTGTTGTTGCTTATTTGTCCCTTCTGTTAGTTGTGAGGGTGGGAGGAGATGGAAATAACTTGGTGATAAGGTATTGGAAAGGTGAACTCCTGAGAGCAGGGAATAAGATTTGTGCTTAGAACATCAATAGATACATGTAGGAACCAATAAACATTAGTTAAATGAGAGTCAGTAAAATAAAAATAAATAAATAAATAAAATAAGTAAGTAAGTAAGTAAGTAAATAAATAAATAAATAAATAAATAAATAAAATCTAACATGAATCCCATAGGAGCTCTGCAGGTAAAAGAGGTAGACAATGATAGTGAACACTTTGAATTATCAGGTGTCAATCTCAAGCAATTCTAACTGCATGAAACTGAGTTTAAAATGTTTTTGGATTTATTAGCATTTTTGTGTAACTGTGATAAATTCTAATATTGAATTAGAAGTTTGGTTTGGTACAAAGAGTAATTTTCAGAGAATAGAGGCTTGCATGGATTGTGAAGCAAAATACTTCTGCAGAAGTCCAGATAATTTGATTAAAGAAAATCATTTTAGATTTGTTTATCTAGATGATTCACTCTAACCTCTTTCTCTCTCTGCTTAGACATCTGCATTCCCTATCTCATTCTTGATTTAAAATGGAAAGTTCCAACATGTCTACCGAGGTGCAAAAGTTGAAACCTTACCTGGCTAGTGTACAGCTGACATAATGGCCAAGGCCTCTCACCTGAGAGAGGGGAACAGAAAGGGTTGTCAATACCCTTCCTTCTTCATGCCTTGGTGAAACTCCCAAACCTGCCCTTGCTTTCACTGTCTCTCACTATTGCTTGGGAATAGGGTGACCAACAGCCTCCTTTACCATGGATCATCCCAGGGACTGCTCTAGTTTTAGCATTGAAAGCCCTGTCTCCCTGGACACCCCTCAGTCTGGGGCAAATCTGGACGGTTGGTTGCCTCCATAATTAATGACCTTCCCTAATTTTTATTAGATAAAAGAGATTTGATTAATTATTTATCTCTGCAAGGTGAGGCCACTTCCCTACTTTATTGTAGATCTTACATGAGCAAATGAGTAAAATTTCCAGAAGTGGGCTCAATTAATTACCCAGACAAACAAATACACAAAAGAATGTGATAGGCTTTAGTATGTCAATCACCTTTACTAATCTTGTAGTCAGGACAGAAGAATGAGGAGGGCCTGGGAATTTTGAAGAAGATCAAGTTTTGGTGTAGTTTAGGCCTAGGGCATGATAGGTTCTTGGATCAGAAGATGAGCGGGCAATGAATCAAGCAGCTATGGGAGGCAGGCTTGCTGGTGCAAGCCACTTGGGAAAACAATAGAGAAGTACCTTAAAAAATTAAAAATACAACTATCCTACAACCCAGCAATTGTACTGTTAGGTATTTACCCAAAGGATACAAAATACTGATTCAAAGGGGCACATCCACTCTGGTGTTTATAGTAGCATTATCAACAATAGCCAAATTAGGGAAAGGGCCCAAATGTCCATCTCTTAACTACAGAGAACTAACTGGTGGTTGATGGAGGGACGTGGGTGGGGGATGGGCTAAATGGGTGGTGGGTATTAAGGAGGGTACTTGCTGTGATGAGCACTGGATGTTATATGTATGTGATGAATCACTAAATTCTACTCCTGAAACCAATATGACCCGACATATGAACTCACTAGAATTTAAATAAATGCTGAAACAACAACAACAAAAAGGGGAAAAGAAAGCCACTAAATGTGGGGGTTAAAATAATTTGTCATGAGGATAGAGTATACAGTAAACATCCTGCCTCCTATTTCTTCATCTTCTGTCCCCTTTTAAATCTAGTTGTTATTACTTTCTGGCAGATTTTCCCCCCAGATTATATTAGTCATGTTATTAATTGCCAAGTGTATATTATATCTTTGATTCTGTCTGGATTCAAAGTAAAGCTGAAAATGGAGATCAGTTTTAACCAACAGTAAATAATAAAAGCCTTGACGATAAACTTTAACAAGCTGTTGATACAAGTTGGCTGAAGATATGAGCCTGTTTAAGCTTTGTTGTGGAAAGGCAACGAGATGAGTGTATCCACAGTTGGACCCCAAGGTGAGCTAAGAGATGGTAGCACAGCTCCAGAGAACTGATGGCTACAGAGGAATCAAAATTTCAGAATCTCTAGAAAAGATGAAGCCAAAGGGGACAGAATTAATTCGGATGCTTTGAATCCAGTTATCCCTTTCCTTAGACTTTCTCCTAGAGCTCAATTATTCAAAAATAATGGAGGGTTTATGTTTATTCCTAACAAAAGTGTAAGTTATCTTCCATTCAGTCAGCCAGCCACTTGTCCCATCAGTACCCTCTCCATCCCATCAGATAAGAAACGGATGGTACGGACGGGAATTTCTATCTCCAAGTGGCCGATATTTCCAGACTGGGGGTCTGTCTGAGTTTATTAAAGCTTTCATCCATTCATATTCTTCAGTTTAGCTGCTACAGGGGTGGTGGTCCAAGGTACCATTTTATTGTGCCCCTGATACTGTAATAGCTTCCTGCCTGGTCTCCTTGCTTTTATTCTTGCTGCCTCCAAATCCACTGTGTCGTATCAGCTAGAATGATCTTTGAAGAGCAAAGATCTTAATACTTTATCCTCTATCCCACCTCCGGGTTAAAATCCTCTTAATGGGCTCCTGTCACACTTAATATAAAATATCTGAATTGTTTGTCACAATCAACAAAGCACCACTATGATCTGGTCCCTGCCTTCCTTTCTTACTTCATCTTACCCACAAAGCTCTAGTCATTCTGCTTTTCTTTCTGTGTTTCTTCAACGTGCTAAGCCAATCCCTATGGTGAGTTGTAAAAAGTAGGAATGTCTTCTCTTTTGGTTCTTGGAATAGCTGGTTGCCTTTTGAGTCACCTAGTCACTCATTTTCTGTCGTATTACTATATTTTAAGTCTCTGCAAACCATTTGCTAATATGGGCATTTACTTCTTTATTTTTGCTGTTTTTCCTCCTCCACCAGACTGCAAGCTTCATGTAAGCAGGGGCTTGTCATCTTGTTCTGTGCATTAACGGTGAGTCCTAGAACAGGGCCTAATAGGTAATTGGTACCCTGTGAATCTTTGTTAAAGTGACTGGTTTCTATTCGCAACCAGCTTACAAATTTGGCAGTATGTCAAAGATAATGTAAACGAAAATCTAAATACACATGACAACAAACAGAAGAGAAGCTGAAAGGCAATACGTGATTTCAGTACTATATGAACCTTTTATTATAGAGCATCAACTCAGATAAAATATCAGAGAGGAAGGACAGACACCTCATATTCCCGTCAGTGAGGCTGCAAGTTCTAAAAGCCGGTTTCCACGAGGGGAAGGCAAAAGGCACATGTGGAGGTGATGGGCAGGAGAGAGGATGCGAACGCGCAAAACGAGTAAGCAGAGAACTTCAGCCCAGCACAAGTGTGGCAAGGAGGGCGCGACTCGCTGCAAGATGAAATTCTTGATTATCTGGAATTTGGGAGAAACGACAGCTGGATGGAGGATTTTGAGGCACAGCTTTCCACTCCTAAAGAGTTTTGCCAAGGGCCAGGCCTCGGGCCATCCCCCGCCCGCCTCCCCCACCCCCCGGCTCCGCCCGGGCCAGTTTCGGCTCCGGGAGATGCAGCTGCACAGCAGATTCACAAACAGAGGAAGTTGCCTAATTTGGGCAGCGCTGCGGCCGGCCGGGACCGCCCCGCAGAGCCGCGGCGGGGAGGGGCGGGGTGGGGGGCCGCCACCTCCCCAGGGACTGCGGGGCCGGGCTCCCCCCGCGGGGCGCCGGGGCGCCCTGCCGCTGACCCCGCTGACCCCGCTGACCCCGCGGGCCGTAGGAGGGGTTCGCTTCTAGACGCGGTCGTTTCTCCGGACTCCTTCTCCGCTCTGTGGGGTCCGGCCAGCGTTAGTCCCGTTCCCCCGGGCACGGACCCACCAGTGAGCGTGTGCGTGTGCGTGTGCGTGTGCGGCCTCGGCTCCGGCCCCGCCCCGCCCTCAGACGCGCTCGGGCGCCCGGAGAAAGCCGCGGCCCGGCCTGGTCGCGCTCCGGCCGCGACTGCTGCGGCTGCTCCGGGCCGCCCGCCCAGGGCCGCTCCGCCTCCTCCCGAGCGCGGCGCCGCGCGGGCTCCGGGACAAAGTTGGGAGCGCGGCGGGGGTGGGGCCGCGGGGGCCGCGGGGGCCGGGCGCCCGGGCGGGGAGCGCCCCTGGGAGTCGGAGCGGCCAACGCCGCAGCCCCGCGACCTCGGCCTCCCGGCGGAGAGGCTCGGCCAGAAGCCGGAGGGCACTTCCCGCCGGGCGCCCTCGAGGGGGGCGGGGGCGGGGGCCGGGGGGCGGGATCGCTCTGCCCTGGGATCCGTCCGGAGTGCGGCGGCAGCTGCGGCGGCTGCTCCCTTTGTCTTCCTGGGGCCTCCTTCCCTCCCTTTCACCCCTCCCTCCACCCGTCAGTGGATCCCGCTGCCCCGGGCGCCGGCGCCCAGCGGCTCGCCGTTGCCCACCCCCGGGGCGTCCCCGGGAACTCCTGCCACTTTAGTGCCCCGCCGAGTCGAGCCGAGGGGGCTGCGAGCGGGACGCAGTCGCAGGCCGCGGCCGCCGCGGGGAGGATGCTGGCGGGGCGGACTCTGGCCCGCAGCCCCGGGAGCCGGCTGGTCCCCGGGCTGTGGCCGCCGCCGCCGCCGCCGCCGCCGCTGCCGCTGCTGCTGCTGCTGCTGCTGCTGAGCGCTCCCGCGGGGCCGGTGGGCGCCCAGGAGCAGCCCTCCTGCAGAGGAGCCTTTGATCTCTACTTCGTCCTGGACAAGTGAGTGCCCGAGGGAGGCCCAGGGGCTAGTGCGGGGTGGCCCTGGATGCGCTGGCGCTGGGGAGACGGAGACGCCCGTGCGCCCTGGGGAGGGCTGCCGGGAAACTCGACGGGCGCGTCCTGGCCTCCCCGACCGACCCAAGGGCGAGCGAGCGCTTCCGTGTCTGCGCCAGCTGGGCGGTGATGGCAGGAGCCCCCGCGGCTGGGCTCTCCGGGGAGGGTGCGGGCGTCACCGTTTGCCAGTCCTGGGGTCCCTCCGGAAACGCGAGCGTGCCTGTCTGGGGTAGCCGGCTGCAGCGCTCGACCCCGGACCGGCCTGCCTCGCCGCCGCGCTGGCTGCAGTCCGCCGGGTCTCACCCGGATCCCTGCGCTTTCCTTGTAGCCTGGAAAACCCTAGCGTCAGCATAGACTCAGGCGGTTTGCCCGTCCTGCGAAGGAGAGTTGTGTTTGTTTTGAGGAGCCGGGAACCTACTCCAAATGATGGGTCAGGTGGCCCCGAGGACGGGGGCTTGGCTTCCTGGATTCTTTTAGTGCCTCAGTTTCTACCGTCTGTACTGTTCCTTTGCTCGAAGTGGAGGCCGGGTTACCCCACGTAAATGTTTTGTGTTGTTTGCTTGTTTCTGATCGGTTCAATTTCATTTTACAGGTCTGGGAGTGTGGCAAATAATTGGATTGAAATTTACAATTTTGTCCAGCAACTTACAGAGAGATTTGTGAGGTATTTCTCCCACTTTACTCGGCAGGGGAATCTGAGGTGGAGGGAAGTAGATTGAAGTGTAAGGTATCCCTTTTTTGAAACCTTTTGTAGGGAAAGCTTCTCCAGAAATGTTGATTTTTTTTTTTTTAAGTGCCTCAAGATCACTATAACACACATGTAGTTATTAGGGCAGCCCTTCAGTTGTTCAGGGCTTATTTTATCTGGATCCCAGAAACTTGGCTCAGGCTCTGGGGAAGCATCTTCAAATACTATTACAAATGTCTTTTCCTTTCTGAATTTTCATCTGTTTTGAATTTCAGTTACGCTTTCTCATAATTTATCACATTAAACAAATTTTATGCTAATAGTATCCATAATATATTTTTCTTTCCACATAATTCTTAGCATTGTAGAGGTCATCATTAAAAAAAAAAGAAGTGTGGGTAAACTTCAAATGAACATGTGTTAATAACCCACTACCAGAAAAGGCACTGTGTGTGTTTAAAGAAAGACTTGTGTTTACCCAATGTGTGGGTGTGTGGCTGGTTTAAAATTTAACTGTTCTATATATGCAATAAGCCTTACTAGGAAAGACTGGTTTTTTTCCTCCTATAAAAAGCAATAACTGCTACGAAATCCAGCTTACTTTCTTATTTGGAGGTAACTAGGAATTAGTGGCATCTCTATTTAAAAATAACCCCAGGACACCAGACTTTTGAGCCTTTCTCTCTCTCTCTCTCTCTCTCTCTCTCTCTCTCTTTCTCTCTTTCTCTCTCTTTAAAGAAAAAAAATGCAATGAGCAAATGCAAGTTTATCAAGATAATGGAAAGGACACAAAAAGGAGCTGTATCATTAAATATTGCTTCTTTCAGTCTTGTTAGCCCAAATGTTTTCTGTAAAACAGGCTTGGATGATCAAAACATTTTGAAAGTCATGTTGCAAGTAACTTCAAACAATCTGTAGAGGCCTAGGCAATCCTTGCTTTCAGTTATTGGCAGCAGTAAACTTATCCCTATAAAAATGTATGCTTGTCCATGTTCAATCATCAGTCTCCTGCTTAAGAAGCCAAGTATAACACTCTCATTTCTGGACAGGGTCTGAAGTAAAACTGTCTAGGAAAGAAAAATAAATAAGGCCCTATATTTTTAAATGTTAAAGGCAGTAGAGATAGCTTTTTATAAATGTTCTGATTTGATCTGAGAGTGTACAGAGAGTATCACATAGATTTTGATTGAAAGCAATGGATCACTTCAGTACAACATTTTGAAGAGGTGGGGTTTTTATTTATTAGATCTGGCTTGCAAGCTGGAATTCTATAATACATAGTTCTCTGGCTCAAATTTAGTTGCTTAGTTATTAACTCATAATACATTGTAGAAAGTGAATCAAAGTTGACTACTGAAGAGAATGTCTTCCAATATGAATAGGACTTTGAGATCATTCTGATCTTCAGTTTATAGATCTTAGTTTCCTATCTTTACTTTCAGATCTTAGTAACAGTTGTGTAGAGTGTCATGGAGACAAGAACCATTCTGTGAGATCAGTGCCTAAAGCTTAAAAGAGGTGGCTAACTGGGGCAGGTGTTGCCAGTTGGAAGTGGGATGTTTGAGACCTGGACAGCCTAATCAGAACTGATTCGTTAGTGTCTTTCAGATTGTCCATGATACTCTCTCTATGTATTCTTACCTCCAGATCACTTTTTTCTGAACTCATATCAATTATGATAATTAAATCAAATTATGGTAATTAAATCAAACTGACTGCTCTCCAGCGCTAAATATTGTCAGTGACACTCTCTCAGAAGGGTCTGGCCTCCTTTAAGGAGATGAGATAGAATACCAAGGGAAGAAGTATTTTCTACAAAAGGATTTTACATTGGCCTAGAATTCATCTTTCTAGTTGTAGTCTCTTCCCTAAATGGCCCTGTGGTTCATGGAGCATTGTTTGAGTGCTGAGAAGCACTGACTCAGTCCAAAACGGCTTATGTGGTAAGGTTAAGCTGAATTAGTATATATACTTAGGGAGTTCCACTGAAAAGAAGTCTGGACCATCAGAGTCTGATTTTTTTTTTTTTCAGAGTCTGATTTTAACTGAGACTCCATAGCTACAAGATACAAGTCTCTTATATTGTATTTTAACCGCCTCTTTTCTTATTTTGCAGCCCTCAAATGAGATTATCTTTCATTGTGTTTTCTTCTCAAGCAACCATTATTTTGCCATTAACTGGAGACAGGTTAGTGCATTATCATTTCACTGTAGGCTTTTAGTAGGGACTAATCTTGAAGGGATGATGGATATTTCCAAGTAGTGATTCAGGCCTCCCAGTGGAATCAAACAAATGCACAGACAATTCAGCTCTGTTTGCTAATAGAGGGAAAGGAGGTATGAGTGATATAAAAGAGCACATAATCTGAAAATATGTATCATTCTTGTTGGCTGTGGGATGTACAATGAAACCCAGATCTCTGCCTTAGTTGTATATTTACTACTTCCCATGTTTCCCCCTCTATTTCTATAAGTACTTCTACATCTTTCTTGTTTAAATGTAATACATTAATCAACTAGGAGTCTGCAGAACATTAGGGAGGAGAAAGATATGGATCTCTGGATAATTTACTAGATTCAGCCGACATCCCCCATCTCCAGTCTTACTCTGAGATCTACTGATGCTGAATATATTTGCCTTTGTAAAGGAACTTGCTTACTATTTTTTATTTTATATGTATATATAAAATATTATATACAAACTTGTAAATATATACAAATAATATATATTATATATTTAAATATATTGTACATATATTTTATGTACATAAATACATATAAATGAAAATATATATAATCTTATGATATTTCATATGGCCATTTTAATGTCATCTGAAATAATGTGTCAGGTTAGAGGTAGTCACTGACATATTTTAAAGAATGGCTGCTTTCCATGGGATCACCTTTGTGTAGTAGACTATGAGTTCCAAAGTGGGAAGGGAGATTTTCCTTTTCATTTTTATATCTACTTTACTTATTTATCTATTTAATTTACTTTATTTAATACAAAGTATGAAAACATAGTTTTTGCTCAGTTCTTGCTGAAAGAATGGATGGGTTAGCATTATTTTGAAATCATATTTCTCCAAACTGTCATTTTGGTACAAGAAGCTGGTGTACTTTGTTTTGCATAATATGTGGATTTCTGAAAAGCTATGCTTCAATGCAGCTTTTTTAATAAATGAATTTTTTTCTTTGAAAATGTTAAAACGTAATATATATTTAGTGTTCTGTTTGTTTCAATTTTTTATTTGAACTCTAGTTAAGGAAACATAACATTTAAAAGGACTCAGGGAGAGAACTTATTTATACTTGTCAGAATTAATTTGGGAGAAAAATATAAATCCTTCTAATTTGCTTGTGCTTTAAAGTTTTACTTTTCTGGAGAGGAAGTACCTCTGTAGATGACCTCAGTGTTCTCATTGATAGTTTCCTTCCGTACTTTCTTGTGTACATCTGGGTGTCATCAAGAGTCAGAGCAATAGTAGTCTCTTATACCCCACATAGAATAGCTTTCTATACCCAGTGATATAACACTCTTTGTCTCCATGAAAAGAAATTTTGTTCATTGCCCAGTTTAATTTTCAAAGAAACAGATCTTCCTAATGAAGTCTATTCATTAGGAAAAAGAAAGAATGTTGTTAACATTTATAGAGTGTATATGTAGGGAAAAGCACTTAGCATAACGCCAGACACAGTAGACTCTCAGTGATTGTCACCTGCATATGCTGTGCCAGGTTCTCTGTTAGGCACTTCACATATGGATCCTCCAGCACTTTGAGGATGAAGTGTAGTGATTGGTCAGCAAAACTGGTATTGCATGGAAATGCATGGAAAGGGTTTAACATGTTAATCTAAATTAGAGATTCTTCCTTTATCATTGGTTGAATCTAATAGAGGAGAGAGGTGGGATAAAGAGGCTTCCATTTGAAGATGTAGCATAAAACAAGCATGTTGCAGTTAAGTCACAGAACCAATTTACTAGCCAAATGCTCATGGACAAGATACTTAACCTTTTTGTGCCTCAGTTTTGTCCACTTGTGTGATGACGACAATGATCATGGTGCTAACAATATCTACCCCATAAGACTATTGTGAGAATGAAGTCAGTGAATATGGAGAACGTGGGAGAGTCTGGTGTGTATGTATTCAAGAGAGAACGTTCTTGTAATTATTTATTTCTACTACGATTATTGTTTGGATCTAGGGAATATGTAGTATTTTCATGATTAGTGAGGAATTATTATTATTAATTAAAGGGATAATTATCCTGCTTTACAGAATTTTTAATTTTCTAGGAGAAATATTGTTAAGGCTACTTACAATTTCTGTACGGTTCACTCTTTTTCTTTTGAAATAGAGATACATTCAGTTGTAATGAATTGCACTATTTGTGGCATGCTGAATTAGTGTGAGGTGGCCGAAAGTACACTAAGAAGGTCTAGGTAGATTACAGCTGTGCTACTTACTGATTTAGAGACTTGGGGCAAATCATCTACTCAGGTGTCAGTTTTTATGTGTGTAAACTGCAGACATAACTGGCCATGTTTTCTTTCTTTCTTTTTTGAATCTTTATTGATACTCTTATGTGCTTTCTTAAGAGAGTTGTTGTAAAGATGAAAATAAGACAATGCTTGGAAAAGTACTTTGTATATCACAGTCTCCATTAAAGGATATTATCTTCTGCTCCTCGTTGTTCTTTTACTAATTTAACTTTATTACATCAGTAACTTCTCAAACTTTTCTGTCCTGGGTATTTGGGTATATGGTGTCTTCATCCATTACCGGCTCTCAAGTGTGTAGAAACAGTCACATATTTAGATACAAAAATCACTGAACAAATGTTTCCCCAACTATTGTGGATCTTTGTTTCAAAGCCTAGACATTGGAATTCTACATATAAACTTTCTTGATGTCATAGATCACACTTACAAGGAGATCTGAGTAAATGAGAAACATAGCAGGTTTCATAATTTTAGTTTTCTTACTCATAATTCTTCATTACGTTGGTTATGAGAAGTACTTCTTTCAAGTTTTCAGAGTGTTGCTAAATATTTTCAGTAGAGATGAAGCAAGATTGGAAGGCAGTAAGTCCATAAGATAGAGCGGTGTCTTCTTATAGAATTTCAACATGGAGTCCAATACTATGTAAATACATGAATAGAATAATACACTCGGCAAGAAATGATCAGTCATTTTGTATACTTGTAATATAAAAACTACTCTTTTAAGTGTTTCAGTTTGAACCACTCTCTTCTCCTCTTCTCTTCTTTCTCTTCTCTTCTCTTCTCTTCTCTTCTCTTCTCTTCTCTTCTCTCTCTTCTTTCTTCTCTTCTCTCCTCTTCCCACCATGATTTTTATCTTCTGTGTATCTGTTCACCCATTCATCCACCTACCCACCTACCTACCTCTACCTACCTGCTTGCCTACCTTTTATATGATATATTGAGCATTATGGGCTCTGGAGGCAATACAAACATGACTAATTTAGTGTGTGTGACAGTGAGGAGTGTGCACATACATTGAAATAGCTCAGGGTTGTGTTATAGGATCAGATAAGAAAAGTGCCATGTTGATTCAATACGGACAAATCTGGCCTCTCAATATTAAAGAATCTGAATCACGAGTAATTTTAAAGGATATTTTTAGTTATTATGCTACATAATTGGGGATAGTGAATTATGCTCACATCTATTCAATATGATCTTAATGATGTAAAATGATTTAGTTGAAAACATTTAGTGAACAGTTATTATGTGCTAGGCAGTGTGCAAGATGCTTTCCATTCATTACCTCATGTAATCCTCATATTAATACATGTATTACATACTACAATTATCTTAACTTTACAAATGAGGAAATGGGAGCTGTGAAAGGTAATGTAGCTTATCCAAGGACATAGAGTTAAGATGTGATGAGCAGAATCGTCTTTGAAATTATAGAGTATGCCACTCTTGTGCTTATGACAGTTCTAATGGCTTAGAATGGAAAGCACATGTCTCCTGATGGCCTAAGAGCCCTTCCTGATTGCCTTGCCCATCCTCTCCAACTTGCGCCACAGTTTAGCCCACTGGTCTTTCCATTCCCTGAACAGGCCAACTTTGTTTCCACATTATGAATTTTGTTCTTTCTCTGCCCCAGAACTGCTCCTGGCTAGCTCATTCTTATTACTTAGTTGTCATCCCATGTGTCCCCTCCTCTGAGACCCTTAGTCTGGCCATCAAGTCTACAGGAACCCTGGCCTTCCTCCCTAGAAATCTGCCGGGATAGTCTATTTGGTTACTACTTTTTGAAATTATTCTGTTAATTAATATTATTTTTATTTCCATCACCCTAACATAAATTGCATGAGAGCTGAGGGGTCTTCTCTGTCTTGTTTACCAGTGTATTTGATACCAGAACAGAGTCTAGCACATAGTAGATACTCAACAAATTATTATTATTTTTTTAAAGATTTTATTTACTCATTCATGAGAGACACAGAGAGAGGCAGAGAAAGAGGCAGAGATAAGAGAAGCAGGCTCCATACAAGGAGCCTGATATGGGACTCGATTCCGGGACTCCAGGATCATGCCCTTTGTTGAAGGCAGATGCTCAACCGCTGAACCACCCAGACATCCCGATGCTCAACAAATTCTTTTATTTTATTTTATTTTTTATTTTTTTGGTATTTTTTTTTGGAGTTTGATTTGCCAACATATAGCATAACACCCAGTGCTCATCCCGCCAAGTGCCCCCCTCAGTGCCCGTCTCCCAGTCACCCCAACCCCCTGCCCACCTCCCTTTCCACCACCCCTTGTTCATTTCCCAGAGTTAGGTGTCTCTCATGTGTTGTCACCGTCACTGATATTTCCCACTCATTTTCTCCTTTCCCCTATATTCCCTTACTATTTTTTATATTCCCCAAATGAATGAGACCATATAATGTTTGTCCTTCTCTGATTGACTTACTTTATTCAGCATAGTACCCTCCAGTTCTATCCACGTTGAAGCAAATGGTGGGTATTTGTCATTTCTAATGACTGAGTAATACTCCATTGTATACATAGACCACATCTTCTTTATCAACAATTTCTTGTTGAGATGAATGGTAGAATTGATGTGACTCTAGAACCTGACTTATTTTAAAAAAACATATTATTTAAATTCAGTTTGCCAACATATACGATAACACCCAGTACTCATCCC